TCAGGCAAATGCTCGATTTCGTGGTCGAACAGATTTGGGTAGTGAACGTCCGTCGGGTTCATCTCCACTAAAATCCACCGGTCGAAGCGGTCATACGAGGCCAATTACGGAGCCAGAACCCATCCCGTCTGCGCCGGGTGATGCCAGACGGACGCGTCCGATGCGGTCGGATTACAATTATTCGGATTTCAGTATCAGCGAATCACCAAACGAGTCCGTTGCGTCCCCTTGTGATAGGTCCACAAAAACGAACGCTTGGAGTAGACAATTATCGGCAGACTATACTCAATCAGGTGCACAGAAATACGCGTCCGGTAAACCGCTCTCTAGCTCCTTTTCACATGTTTATACGAACGGATTAGGGGGAGTAAATAACGACAAATGCAATCGAGTTTCCAAGAAATCGAATGAAATCCGTCGTATTCAGTCCTCTGAACCAGGTCGAGCAGCACTTCAGCACAAATCTGAGGCCTTTTCGGCCCCCAATGGAAGTACAGCCTGTGTAGGGAGTCCAAATGAAGGCACTTGGTATCGCTCATCTCCTACAAATGACACAAACAATCACTTGAACTATGGAGAAGATCAGGTGGACATCGATTTCGATCCGTTCCTAGAGTCACAGCAAGGTTTGGCGGAACTGTTGGCTGCGGAAGTGGGTAAGCTAGGGCTCACCGGGGATGAATCATCCAAGGGTGTGTACCATGCAAATTGTCAAAGTGGTGCGTCGGGAACCGGCCCTGGTGAATCCACTTCACATTTGCTTGCTGCAACCAATTTGGATCCTGGCTTGTCTGATTTTCGATCCAGTCATTTGGGGCGAGTTGCATACTCCTGGATGTCCGATTTCGCACAATGCGAAACTGATGGTCATGGTGATCCAAACCAGCAAAATTCGCGATCGATTTTTCCGCGAATTTATCCACCACCAGGCTTCGAGGACAGTGCGCGCGTTCTGCAACGATCGACAGAATCATCCATGTTTTCCAGTTCTCATCCAGACTCCCTTTTGAACTTTGAGCAGTCTGAACCAAATTGTCCACTCGGAGCTTCAAGGGGTGGCGGGAATGCTACTCTTGTTTGCAATAATGGAATGACCACCAACAACTACCCATTTGCACATGTTCCGTGCAACCCCGGGAGTAAAGTAGATCCTAGTTTTGATGCATTTTCTCAGTCAAGACTTTCTAAGAGCGTGGATTCTAGTTCGCAATATCGATCACCGTCGTCATTTGGTAGTCCTGCCGAAGGCAATCTCCCATTTACCACTCACGACCGTGTCTCACAGCGCCCGGATTCTCTTGCCAGTCTTTTTACTGCTGCTTTTAATACTGCTACCGCCATGTTAAGTCATCGAGCAGCCACTTCCGGCGACAAAGCTAATCCTTGTGCTTCAAAATCCTCCGCCCCTTCGAACTTCGATCTCAGTACATTCTTCAATCAGCTTTGTCGACATTCCCCGTTCTTCTCCTCGCTTGCGGCTCAGTCTGCATCCGACTGGAGTTCGGTTTTTGGATGCAACGGTAGCATGACAAGTGGCGGTAGCAACAATGGAGTTAGACCGTCAGGTAACTCACCCGATCCCCTGATGGATTCAGTGAATTCAACTGCGCTTGCCGCTGCTGCTGCTGCGGCTGCTGCATCCGTTCTCTTACCTTCGGTGCAATTTCCCACCAGATCCGATGTCTTATCAAACGAAGATAGCTCTCAGATCAACCTGACCGTAAGTTCAAAGCGTGTCACATCTTTACTCCATAACTTCATCATCATTGTTTTCATGTTTGTATCACCAGCCGAGGAACTTGATAAGATATTGATTGTCGCTGCCTAATGGTAATGTCAAATGAAATCTATCCACCAATCAATGGGAGCACCATTTGACACCGACACCCACTGGATTGAAAGGTTAAGTTATAAACTTTAACAGTTGAGTCAAAAATAGGTTTATACGATATATATATATATATATATATATATGTGACAGTTTGGTAAACAACGATGTTAATTGTTGTTTTTGTAGCTCGGGTGGTATAATATGATGTTCAATTGTTCGCCGAGCTTGGCAATTGTACTGCAAACGTTTCATCACCAATCGAGGTGACATTCTCAATGCAGTAACTGGTTACTGCATTACTGCATATGAATTTTTTTCATAGATTGTGTGGTCATATTACTTCCCGGTCGTCCTAACTGAAGAAGAAGGATAAGCTGGGGGTCCCCACCATAGCCTTTGGGTAGAAAGCCAGACGTACAAGACAGCTGGACGGAGATCAGAATCCGCAATCCCATGAGGGCCGGTGTTCGGTTAATCGGATCACACGTCTTTGGAGGGGATCGAATGTGCAAAGTGTCCAATACACTTGAATGTTCATTTGAGCCGGTGACCACTACCGCACCCAAGATGTGTGTGATTTGTACGCCTCTTCTTGGTTGGTTTGGAATCAAGGTTTTGTCCCATTGCCCTAGATGAACTATAGTTCACCGCCCCGGATACTGACTTTTCATCCCCTCACTTTGGTGGGAGCACCTGTTAGCCACGAGAAGGCAGTGGGTAGGGCTTCCTCAGCAGAAGCTTTTTGATAAGCTTGTTCGTATGACAGCATTTCGCGAGGTGCAAGGGAAGGGTGACCAGCTGCAACCCGAAGCGCCCACCCCCGACCATACTGAGGCTTTCGGATGCTTACAGGTATTCACCAAACATGCAACATGATTCTTATTTCGGAATTGCATTTTAGTTTGCGGTATGAAACGTGCATCACGATAGTCCTAAGTGAAGAGCATTTATTCCGACTTTCATCTTCTAATTCAATATTCTTAGTTCTTGCGTATCAACGTTTTAATCTTGTAACCTTGAGTGTCGCGGTAAAATTTTGTATTAGTCCGATATTACGTCATCATAATGAATAATATTTCATGCAAAGCAGCATGGAGGTTCATTTTTCCTATTAAATGATTGCTGTTTCATTAGCTTGTTTATTTGAGTCATTTCACGTTTTCTAATTCGATGCGCAGAAAATAAGCCGATGGATGAAAATTTTCTATCTTGAATAAATTGATAGATTGTAACATAAAACTACTCCCATATCCCTTATCCTGAAGGAACTAAAATATTCCGATAAACACAAAAGTTGACCGGCTCGTTGAATAACCGTCTTGTATTGTTACCATGCCCAAACCGGATGAAACATTCTCAAATGTTTGGCATATCGTTGAAGCGGATGGGCAACCTAGTCCAGAAGCACATAAGTCCGATGACTCAGTTCCTGACTTGTGCAAATATGATATGAACATAAACTCAATTTATCGCATAATCAACGGAATTCCTCTATCAAGACTCTAAACAAGAGAAAGAAGATTTATCACACCGAAGCAAGACGATCTCAGCTGAGAAAATGGGCAAACAGCTAATATGGAGGATAGTTCGGGCGGATTCGCCGCAATTTTCTCATGCCTCTATTCGGAAAATGATGGCTCACTTGGAACTGAAGCTGGGGTTACCTGATGTTAAGGCATCATTGAACGTTTTGCGACCGAACTCCATAGCGATGCCCTTCTATTAAATTAGGCCCAATCTATGCCCACCTTACGTATTTTCACTAACGATGTATTCATTATGAGTTTGGTTGTGAGCAGTATTGTTCATTCGCTGTGTTTCGCAGTACGATGATGATGATTTGACACTCAAGGAAATGGGAACTTCGAGATACCTCCCGTTTTCCTCTTCTGGTAGAACCTAGTGGAAATTAAAACGATATATATATATATATGTATATATATATATATATGACGGTGCTAAAAGGTGGGGTTAAACCACAGAATTTAACGCGACCTTCATTCGCTGACAAACTCGAAGAGAGTTAAAACGACAAATGGGGCGGAACACATTTACCAAGTACCGTGGGGAGCTGATTTTCAATAGTAGTTTAGAATGATTCTCTCCAGTTTCTAAATGTGTGCATTGTTCCTTTTGGAATTATGCTACTTTCAAGAGTATTATCTTCAAATGATCAACTCTTGCCCCTTGAACCGCATTTCGCTATCTTTCCCTTTCACAGAACTACAATCTCCCACCTGGTCTCTCCAAGCCCATGCAAAATCTTCTTCAACAAGAGCTTTCAGATGTGCAAACCAATAGGAACGTATTTTCTGGCACTACCTCTGGTGTTGGTTCGTCTTCGGAACCAACTGTGTCCAGTACGTAAGATAATTTTCACCATTTCAGTGTGATCATTGGTGCGGCGTAATGCTGTCAATCGGTTTATACTGCATTTGTCTTCCCTGTAGAGGTTCAGTTTGATGCAAGTCTAATGTTTATGCTTTGCCTTTGTTTAGATACGCCACTCACTTGGCAACTGGATGATCCAGCCATCGTCTCCAGTCAGCTCGCCCCAGGTAGGCCTTTTTGAACGCTCTTCCTTATGTTCTGAGATGTTATCGTTTTGGGCTTCTAAATAGAGGTCACTAGCCTTCTAACGTCTTAAAAATTCTTTCTGAGGCTTAATTTTGTGTCAGACATCAGTTTTGGTGTTGCCATCAAGCACAAAAGTTGTCCTAAAGGCTCATCCGGAGATATATTTCTGTGGCGTATTTTAAACGTTAGTTTTCTAGTGTTAATGAAGGATACAAATTGACTGATTCTCAGGGTACAGGTATGGTAAGTGATTTATGCGTATGCGTAGAAAACAGTCAGTAGAGGAATTGGTTAATTTACCTATCCCCCAAAAGACCAGCCTGCGCCTTGACGTTTCAGAAGCTTTCCCATGACCGCGCGAGATGTACTACGTCGTTTATCGCATCTGCACATCCACAAACGTTTTTATAAACAGAAACTATCCCTAGAGCCTCTAACAAGAAGCGCTTCGTAAAAGTGATTGTCATTCACGACTCGGGCAAGATGAATGTTTGGCGGATAAGAATATGTTCGCCTTCCAGCAAATTCCAGGGTGGTGTCGATCCCAAATAAACTGGCACGAATGCACCTAGGGGTTTTGGAGATCAAATTCAACGTTATTTGGTGCTTGTCGTTATGACGCATCGAAAAGAGAGTTTGAAGGAGTGAGATTTTTTCCAAGTGACGTTTGTCTACTCACATCGCAAAACGAAGACGAACAGATTTACGCTAACCTCAATTGAAAGTGTGAACGGGAAGATTCATAAGGAAGCATGTTTTTGTAATACCGAACGTCAAATATTAGAGTTTAGACAAAATCGTGATAAGTGGTTTTTAGAAAGGCTTATGAAATTCAGTGCGCATTGGGAATGTTAGAATACCAGTTCTATTCTTTCAATGATGAACCGGCGATCAAGGTGAGAGGTGGCGTCGTCCGTGTTTGTGTATCACCAGTTAGCTGAGTGATGAAATTCGTTAGGTTTTAACTGTGGATCATGGTAGACTTCAGTATTATGGAATACGACTGAACTGAACTTCTCCATTTTCTGTTCGATTTCACTTTCAACTTTCCTTTCTTCTATTCTTCATCCAAATGGGCAGCCAAAAGACAGCAACCAAAACCGGCTGACGAATATGCGTGGTTAATGGTTGTACAAACTGAAACTGAACGACTGTCGGGTTCTTAGTCCTTCCTCAATGTGTTTGGTGATCCGTTTCGTGTAATGATTGTACTCATATCCAGTCTTACTATAGATGCTTGAATCAGATTCGTGTTGGCGAAGCGCCTTACCGAAGATAGTATCTCAAACTTTGTATCCTCAACGTCTAAAGGCTAGGTGAGGTGATTAACAAAAAGGACAAACTTAGCATCTGCTTACAATGTATTTTGTGCCAATCACGTAACGTGTTATATCTGAATCTATACACTACCTTAGGTGGTACGAAATAGTTGAGTTTTTTCAGTGTATATATTTTTTCACAAGAAGTGGTATTTGAATGCGTCTACGAAATTTCCCGGGAAGCTCACGACCGTTTCCACGGTTCTTGACCCTCATAAAGCATGCATGTCCGGTAATTTATTGTCAGTCAATTCACCTACTTATACGTTGGAAGTGCATTTCCGATAGAATCAACATAGATAGATTGATTACGAAATGTTTGTGGAAACTAATTTTCGCGGTGTTATAAATTATATAAATGATATATATGATATATATGAT